AATTGCAATGTACGTTTTATTATCTTTAGAAAAACTTAAAAAATTGAAATGTCACATTTTGGTGACAACTGGGAATGTCAATTATAATAAATAAAAAATAAATCTTTACACTCATATACTGTGGCATTTTTTGGACACTTCACTCAAATGGTGATGCGACACTTTTCAGGACACCGAACTGGATGATGTGACAAGTTCTGGTCAATGTCCAGCAAAATAATTTAAATATTTCATTGTCTTGTGATGTAGGACATTCCATCAGTTCCACGTTTTCTTGTGAGATGTAGAACACTGTGTAGAATATCTAACATGCTACAGTTCACTAGAATGCCTTCCTAACTTGATTGACAGCTGTTCAAGGGTGAGTTTCCCAAAAGCATCGTAGGGCTAAGAACATCGTAAACTCGATCATAAGATCAATCGTTAATTTACGAGTGTTTCCCAAAATCCATCGTAATTAAAGTAGCTCGTTAATCACTATGTGTCTTAAACTGACAACCTTTTGCGCCAACCTTAGCGACAAAGATCGCCAGACGGAGCACATTAAATTCACTTCATGACAATTCTCTGGAAATTTAGAATACTAAGATTTTCTATTGATATTTTGTTTTAGTACGTAAGAGGAAATTTGGAAAAAGAACATGTATTTATACAGTAATTAATTAGTCAACCTGGGTAAATTTCATATTCATAAGTCAAATGGTCCAATAATACTCCCTCTTTTAGTACTGTACTTTTGAGGTGGAGTTTAAATTTTATTTAAATTCCATAAAGAACGTGAAAAATGCTGAAGCAAGGGAAACATTTGATATATGTAAAAATATATTTGTTTACATAAATATTGACTTAATTACCGCTGGCAGTTAATTGCTTTCTTGTTCTGTTTGTTTTCTTTCTTTTATCTGTATTTTCTCCTCTACTTATTTGTATGGGAGCGGTGAGGGCACATATCCAGAGAACCCCAATCCGTTACAATAGATTTATTTAAAAAAATATAAAAATGCTTAGTTTTATACTTGACTAGATTATATGATTTTCATGATGAAATGCATTAGTGGATTATTTAAGTTAAATCACTGGGCCTAATATTTATTTGTATTTGAAGTTTGAATACCATTTTATGTTCTGTCGTGATTGTTGACAGTAAAGCTTAGACTTACTTGTTTTTCAATTTGATTATAGGTCCTGTATTTGTTGAGTAACACATGCCAAGCTTAGTAGTTAATTTTTCCAGATGTCATTTGAATAAGATCAATTAAAATGGAGTTTCAATACAGCCAATAACTATAAATAACAACAGTATTTTCACATGAAACATTTCTCATGATTCTTAACAATGGCAGCGCGCCAAAAAATTCTTGCTTTAAATCAAAGATGTCATGCAGGATGCATACACAGTCCACACAGTCAATCTGGGTTTTCTTTACTCTTGGAAACAATGTGTCCCATTTTGTGCCTATCTACATGCTTTCGCTTAAATGGTTGTTAAATGATGATGTCATGTATACTTAATATTCCTTTACACAACTTTATTTCATCTCACTGAAGTACCAAAACCAACACCATATAATGAAAGTATTGTCAATCGATTGTTTTTCAATCGACTTGTGATGCTTTTTGCTAAGGGGCGGGGTTAACAAAGACGTACTTTATACTCGCTCGTAAAATGACCGTTTAAGAGGGGTTTCTCTAAGATTAATCATTTTCGGGAAACTCACTCCAATATAGTTATTGTAACTATTCAACAGTACAACACATGCCCGCAAACTTCTAAATATTGTGAAAGGACAGGATTTCTTAAATGAATTTAAAATATAAAGAATTTCATAATAGATCTTTGATTTAGTGATTACATTTTCAATAATTTGTGTTTCTGTAAAGTACATACAGTACAGTACTGCACCATGGGGTTTCACTGTATTAAAGAAAAAGCAGATTCCCTTTAATATCTTTTTTTCCCATACAATTTTGCTCACTCAAATCTGTGAGTTAAGGGGAAGAAACGATTGAATTAATCAAACCTAAAATACTTTATTTTGCATTTGAAATATTTTTTTAATCTGTCAAAAATTGTTTTTCATAACAGGTAGAAGGTTTTTAATACATATGTTTGCAGAAAGGATTTGTATTGCTATGACATTTTATTATAAAAGGCCAGCCAGATTCTCTGATGCTGTCAGCTTCTCTTATATGCAGTAGAATACTGTTAACTATATCAGATTGATACAGCACTTTTCCAGTTTATTATTAATCACATTCACTTACAATTGTTGGTAGTATTTTCTTTTTAAATGCATTTTACGAACATACATTTCATAAAATCTCGTACGGTTTACCAGCACGGTGACGTCAGCGCCCTTCCCTGTGACTAGCAGGGACTTCAGCCGCTAGGCTGATGGGAGATCTCCCTTTAGCTCAGCTGGCTGGGTTCCTGTTGGGTGACCCTAGAGACCCAGGTTTGAGTCCCCAGCGGTGGGGTGACCTGAGGTGGCAGCAGCGAGGGTGCATACCCACGTGAACCCGAAAGTGTTACAATATCTATCTGTATTGCAACAACATTCGCTTCAATGGACTCATGCTAGGTTATTTTGCAGACCATGCTTGGTTTAACACTGCATTACAGATGATCACTGAACTCTGCAGCAGAGATCAACACCGCCAGGTTTATTTTGAAGGAGGTTGGCCATTCGATGTTGCCCAGAGTTACTGCATGGGAGAGGGAAAATGGGATGAGAGAAATCCATGTCTGTATTCAATATTTCCATTTTCAATACACCAAGGTCGTCGCACACTCTGCTGCAGCTTTTTGAATCAAGCCATAAATCTCTTCAAAGAAGGTGGAAAACAGTATGTTTGTCTCTCTTTAGCTCCTGTACCTTAAGAAAAAATACAATATACAACATTTCTGAGGAAAACAATTGATGAGCCAGCGCCTACTGTAAACACTGAAATGTAGAATTCTTTGGTAATGGTTCACATTTTTCACCTTCTGCCAGAACATCACACAAAGCTGCTATGCTAAAGAAGCAGTAGGAAAAGGGGGGGGAAACATCAACCTATCTAGAGTATATTGTTACATCTTTGTAGCAAATCCAGATATTATTGGTTTCTTATAAAAATATCATCATTAAAGGCATCAATACTATATATCAAGAAAATTTCAGAGCAGAACAAGTAACAGATGGTTGAAAACCACACTTACTGAATTTTAAAATATCACAGTGAGAAAGATCTCTACTTGTTAATTGCTGTCATGAGTGGAAAGTTTCAGAACATAGGATGTGCAAACATTTGTCCTTTTAGCAAATTTATAATCTCGTAATGTGACCTATGTGTTTCTGTAATCACATGAACGGTTCTTTTCTTAGCTTATGCACACCTTATTAAATTCTCTTAATTGTTATTTTATTTGGAATGTAGTTTCTTCTGCAAAGAGTGTAATATTTCTAAAAATGCAACTTTCTGAGCTGATATTATCATATTAAATGGATGATCCTAAATCCATTCTAAATAACATCCAGCACAGCTTTATTGCAGAAATTATGGAAAAATAAAGAATAAAAACAGAACTGTGGTAGTACCTTGTCTGAATCTTAATTTTATCTTTGGAGCAGTGCACAACATGCAAAGGATTAAAGGCAAATCAGCCTTAAACACAAAAATGCTTTTTACATATGGTACTGTATGTGTTCTTTTATTTGTTTTGCTCACTGTTATTCAGGTTTTAAGAAAATACTGTAGTTTTACTTCCCCATCTTTTGCAAAAATTTGTTTAATGTCTGAAATGGCTACGCAACACTGAATTAAAGAAAACAAGAAATAGTCATTTGTCAGCATTGCACTGAATATAAGTTAAATGCTCGTTTGTCCCCTATCCATCCCCAAACTTTAAAAAAATAATACTTTCTGCATGGTCAGTGAAAAAAAGTCTTGAGCATTAAAGTCACCAAAGGAATAAGAAAGACTGCTGATGATGGCTTTTGACAATAAGAAAACACGCATCAAATAAAAACAGACGTGATCCGGAGTCTGTGCCCAGATTATAGTTATTACACTCCTTTGACCATTTAATCCAAGAACCTTTCTTGTTCAATTTTCTGACCCTTTAAAAGAATTTAGCTAACTTAGAACTCTAATAAAAATAGAGGAATTTGCTTTGTTATGCTAAGAATGTTATTTTTAAAAAATGACAATAGAATATTTTCCTCCTCCACAGAGCAGACTGGCAGTGTATTGATTGGTATGGAGTCAATAAATAAATAACAAAATAATATACAGTATACCAATAAATATTGATATGTAAATAAAAGAGTCACTGCAAGTTATCTGCATCCTGAGTAATGCTTATAGGAGCTTTACGTTTAAGGTCAGCTGGGGAAGTCCAGAGCTGCAGGCTTTGCAGGTGCAGGCATAACAAACTTGAAATAGACACGCCTAAAGACATTCATAACTCTTTCACAGTAAATCAATCAAATAGAGTACCCATGAGTCTGAATGTCTTACATACAGTACACTCGATGTAGAAAAAGTTTTTCTATTAAACAAACTTTAAGGTTTTGTCTTCATACCTTTGAATTGTGTATGTGAAAACATAACTATTTTAGTGCATGCCCTTTTATTTCTCTTCCTGGGCAGATTTGGATGTGTATGTTTTATTGATCCTATCCTGAAACACCGGACAATAATGGTTAATAATTAAAGGCTGTTTCCATATACCATTCAACTGCCTTCTCTTTTTTTCAAGTGACTAAAATAGCCTGGATAAGGGCCAAAGTTTTGAAAGTGAAGTCAGTACTGGGAGAGCCAATTGCACAGATATGATGATATACTGTATATCACTACATGAACTCACCTTGCTAGCTAGTCAGCTGCCTTAAACACACAGGGGCCAGGGGAAGAGACTAGTGCGAAACTGAAAAACACACCAGCTCTTAAAAAACAAATAACTAGAAGAAGAAATAATAAAGTGAGTACTTAAGAACAAGAGAAAGCTTACAAACCTTTTTAGTCACCGTTTAGTCCATTCTAGCCCATTTGGTAGTTAGTAGTTAATTGAGCCAAGGATCTCTTCCAGCCATTTCTTGAATGGAGCCGAAATATGGAGTTAGGTATTCAGTTTTGGTTTGTTCAGTCTGAACTCCTGGCACCAGGATTTGAAGTATGTTCTTTCATGTACTGTACATGTAGCGATGTCGTCGCTGCATAGTCGTCGTAACCTAAGGAACTGTGAAAAAGGAAGAGAGTTTTTAGTGTGGTTGGGGTGAAATGAGCTGTACAGGAGGTAGCTGTGTGAATCCGTGGGTTTGTAATAAACTGAGGTGGACAGTCGGGGGTAGTTGATAGACAAGTGGATGTCTAGAAACGGAAAAATGGTGGAAGATATGTTAACCGTATATTTGAGGGACGGGTGGAAGTTGGTGAAATGGTGCAGGAAGAACTCAAGCTGATATATATAAAGCATATATATACATACAGCATATATATCAAGCATATATATCATATATATACATACAGCATATATATCAAGCAAAATCACAGAAAGTGTAAAGAGTACAGATCAAACATTATTGATTTACTATTAGGCATGAGCTTCCGTTAAACCTGTGCAGATAGCATTAACCCATGAACCTGATCATCTTTTTGATAAACTGCTTGTTTCACTACTCTTCTTGTGCAGCTGGAAGATCAAAGATGTTAATTACGCTGGCAAATTGGCCTTGCAGATGTTCCACTGGACTCATATCAAGAGATAAAGCTAGACAAAGGCAAATTTTTTACTTTTACTTGAAGTCATATCTCATAGCCCTTCCATTGTCCTGCTGGAAAGCTGACACTTCTAGATTGTCTTATTGTATACCTGTTGGAACTCAAGGATGTCATCAATGTACAGCTGAGCAGCCAAACCAAAGACCTTTCTGTGTTAGAGAAGGTTCCTCCCCATATCATCGTAGTCCACATCTCAGTCTTGGTCTGATCTCAGAGAACTGTTTTGATCAATTAAACAGTCAGCATCTACATTGCAATGTCTCCACACTCTTTATCTTCCAGGGGAGGCAAAACTGGTGAATACAAATTGTCAGAGTCTGGCTCAATTTCAAATGTTTTCTGCCCAACAGAAAACAAAATGTATCTATCTGTGGTCAATGTTGCTCCTGAATGGCCTCCAAGTATACAAATCATATTCCTGCAGGTGTCAAACTACAGTCATTTTTTAATATTATTTTTTTTTTCTCATGCTGTATTTATTGCAGGCTGAAAACAATGTCACAGGTGAATGAAACAAATGTAATGAAAGAAGTCCTTTACTTTATGATCTGTTTTAAACAAAAGGGTGCCATTTACACCAATTTCTAGTAGAATGGTAATGTACTGTATATGTACTGTATGTCCTTAGAGATGTAATATTGGTGATCAATTATGTTATCCTACTTAAACAGTTAAATTGATTATCTGTTCTTCAAAAACTATGTATCTAAACACAAATTTGTTTTGTTTGTCAAAATGTAATTAATTTAACTGCTGATCGTTGTTCTTTGGTTAGCTTCTTTGTTTTAATGAGAATATTTTTTGGTGTCATTGTGGAATAACAATATACATTACAGATGTACTGGTGTTAAACTAAATAAGGCCTTATTAGTGCATTATACATTTTAACATAACATCCGTTGATTTAAATTGGACACTTTTGACTTTTGAATTGTAGCCATTTTATTTGGCTTTTAAGCTCTTTCTCTTCATTGTCTTTAATTTTTTTGGATAATAATGTAATACTCTACACCATAAAATAATGTAGCTTGAATGGGACTCAAAATTATGTTCCACAAAACTGAATGACTCACGGTCAGTCATCAGCTGCTTAAGGTTCTTTCAACAAAGCAAAAAATGTTATGTACTGTAAATGTTTGAGACGCACCACCCACAATAAAGAGTGACTTCTGGTTACTTGGTCATTGCCTAACAGATTGCAAAACTATGGTGAGAACTACTAGATCAAGCCACAGGGGTTCACAAGGAAATTTGTAAAATCAATTGAAGTAATGCCTTTATGCATTATAAATAAATATAAATCCATCAGCGCAACATACATGATTGAAGAATCACAGTCCATTCGTACCATAGAATTGGTATGAAGTACTGTATTATTACTGCTGCCAGCCACATCAGGATTCTCCAGGAGTAACTGCCTTTATGGGTCATGCTCATTTGCTTAAACACTGTAGAAATTGAATTACAATCACCACGTGAAAACTCTCAGGTTTTGGACTAACCTTGACTGATTTCTGCAAATAACATTTTTCAAGCCCACTTTAAAATGTTACAAACATTTATCAAATGTAGTGGAAATAAATATTGTTGCATTTCTATAACATACACAAACCTCTCTGTTGCAGGGTGTAGTCAGTCCTGTTTTTGGTAGGAAAAAAGTGGTCAAGAAGAAACCTGGTTGTGTTAAATGTATTCTTTATATTTCATACTTCTCTGCTACTGGCAAACACAAATGTAAAATGCAGCTGTAATCATAGAATACAGAATCAAACAAAAGGAAAACGAAAATCACATTCTTCATGAGTCTTCAGCTTTCAAAACCTCATGGGTTGGAAGGGTCTTTTTGGTTCAAACTGTCTGAGGTCACAGGAGAGGAAAACAGCGATGGTATTAACCGGACCATATCTGCAGATCCCACCCATCCAACCATCCATGTGTTTTCTAACGACTTCTTCCAATTCAGGTTTGGGTGGAGCCAGGGCCTATCCCAGCAAGCAATGGGTGCAAGGCAAGGTACACCCTGGATGAGATGCCAGTCCACTACAGAACTGGAACCCTTTCAAGTCAATTCAGTTGAAGGAAAGGCAAGAGTAGAAAAATCAGACAAAAAAGGCAGTAATGCTCCACAGGTCCCAAAAACTTCCAACTGCACTTGGGTGGATAGGATGCAATTGCAGCAACCTTGTCAGATAAAGGTTTGTCCCACCTCTTTCACAAGAGGTACCAGAGATACTTTGTGTCATCCCATCCATTCTTGCATTTCCCAGAATCTGCTTTTTTGAGATGTGCCTGCCAAAAATGACTGCTTGTCTAGATAGCCTCACAGTTCTGGTGCGGTCCAAATACTCTTTTTGAAAGATAGTCAGGGCCTCGTGCATTACAAAAAATATTGACATTATTTGGTAAAGCTCAAGAACAAAAAACTCCTCCTTTTCTCATCATGCTTGTATTAAGTAGAATTGGTAGACTTGCTTTTGTCTGCTTCTCTGGGCAGCACACCTCATAATCTACAGTACATCCCCCAGGTGCTGTGTGATCTCAAAAGGCCATTTCCAGTTAGCAAGCAGCTTGCGGGAAGTAGTTTAAAGCAATACCAATGTTTTGTCCCTGCATGAAAAACTGTGCAATTCTCCCCAGAGTGAGTAACTGGTCTCTCTCATTCGATATTCATTTCTAATGGTAGATTGAATGGGTTGAATCTGATGCTCATTTTCCACATGCCATTACCCCAAAGGTATTTCAAAGGGGCAAAAGCCCCAGGAGGATAGGGCACATCACACACAGAAAATAGTAGTAGATAGAGAAGTGGATTGAAAAAGTTAACCTTATGCAGTTTACAGAAGTTGGATATGAAGAACCTAAAGCAGTCTAAAATGTACATACTGTATCTCTTTTCAGATAATATTCATGCAAATACTTTGAACAGGATATCAGCTCTTATAGTGGCAGATACTGTATACAGCATAGGGCCACCACTCTGGGGTACCTCATTCCTAACAATAACAATGAACATGAGCAATGCCTGGAGATATTTCTCTCTAACAGCCAAACAAGGTTCACATCAATTCTTTCATTCTGGGTTTACATAAAAAGCAATGTGTTGAACAAAGTGGCACTGATCTGGTACTTGTTTTGTGACATTCTTGGCAGGGTACACTCTACCTGGGTAGCACAATATGTGTTCCAGACCAGAAATTCCAGGATTGGAATGAAACCCCATCGCACCCAAAAACTAGGATCACAGCACAGTGGCCCAGCAAAAGGTATCGCTTGTTTGGTCAGAAATCCAAACTTCTTATGGTACTTTATCACTAATAACTGTTCATAAACCTGGGCAGATACTCAGAGTAGAAGCAGACCAAAAATAACAGAAAATATCACTTTGAGATATGTGTTTATAGCTTTCCAGCTCAGAAGGATTGGAAGAGCCCCCAAATGGTATGCTAAATTAATAAACTATTGAAATAAACAGCAAGATAACATATCTCACTTGAGGGATAAGAGTACCATCAGAGACAACCAGTTATTTATTAATACATATGGGCATACGGACTCTTGGCTCATATTCAGCTCAGATTATACTACTGGGGCCAGAGAACTCACAAATTATATAGAGCTTTGATGTTTATTAAATATGCGGGACTCTATCAAATGTATACGCTCATATCCACCCAGAGTTTATTCTTCGCCAATATGTCACAATTGTGCACAGCACCAAATTAAGGGACTGGACGTGCCCTGCCACATTAACAATATTATTAATATGTGACTTACAGTATTTACCATATGAATATGTAGAAGTGTAACAGTTTGTACTGGTGAAGTCAGGTGGTAAAATATATCAACGTATGTTTTTGCAGTAAATGTTGGTTGTTTTGCATGTTAAACAATCAGAATGGTTGTTGTTAACATATTTCACCCCAAAATATAGGGGGACTTGAACTCACTTGTAGATTTAGTTAGTAGTTTAAACTCATGTCAGTTGGGCCTTTAAAATACAGAGAAGCTCAGATATGTCAGAGCTCCATACTACAGTGTATGCCTAAATTTCCTT